GTCATTGCACTGAAGAAGGTGACCTGTGATTGAAATTTAAAAAAGATTCTGTCAACACATGACGGATTATCATTTGAATTTTTTCCAGTCAAAATACTCCGTAGACCCGAACACTCACTTACAAGGCATACTTTTTAATATATCCTTTGACTAGATGTGATTTACGAACAATTTTCCGCGCTTCGAACGTCCAATATCCCTCCAGCGACTGGAAACCTAGTGACAGCAGATAAATTCCCTTTGAATGATGGCAATGCAGGCGAAATGCTGTTACATTCAATTCTGGGTTTGCGGGTGTTCAATAAATAGAATCAGACACTATGAACGGCAGCATTCTCTAATCCTCCAGTGAGAAATTTAATGCTTGATGACTCTTCTATAGGAATATAATCCATCAAGACTTGCTTACATTGAATATTAGGGAAATTCTGAATCACCCAGTCACAACTGGATTTAACTTAATTTATTAATTTATTTTTTCATGTTTAGTGCGGGATCCCATTTCCCACGAAATGGCCATCTCTAATAATAAAATTCGAAGAGTTGTCATATACATATTTTATTACATTTGGCAACTCCTCAAATAACACGAAAGAAAGCTATATTACTTCTTTGCTCAATGGCGACTAGACCGTATATACTATAGCATCAGAATCGGCAGCTAGCGGCCACTGGGGCGACTTAGCTGACAGTGTGAACTGGAATACAGTTCCAACAGACACTTGCTATTTTAACTTTCGCAAGTGACAGTTTGTGCTGTGTTATTTTGATAGACCTTGTACTCTGGGTAGATGATAGTGACTCAGTTTTTGTTCGTTGGTTTACCTGAGACCAAGCCTGATGAGTTGCCGAACAGCATGAAACAGCTGTCCATAGTTGGACATCTGTGGTCTCAAATAGTTAAATTTATTTAGAAACAAAATTCTAGGTTTCCATAGTAATTATGTAATATCAAATACTTTACCGTTTTGAATACATCTCCCTTTTGTCCTTCGTCTACATCCATCTAGCGTATGTATGTTGATGCACCTATTAATATAGAGCTTTATTTAGCTCTCGTGTGCTCTCTGGGGCATCCAGGTATGATGAGATACACTACACTAAAAAAATACAAGCTGGGAGATAAGCTTTCCTTGTTCGCAGCAGAACATTACCATGCTGTCGCTGTAAGATATATACATCCAGACTGTGGCAGCAAATGTTACTGTGTCGTATGTATCTTTTTTGTTATTTGTGACATTTGCTTTGTACGTCACAAAAGCAAATGACATTGTTACTCTACATATTAACTCTTATAAGTTAATAGAATGGTTATTCCTGTTACTTGTCTGGGAAACCGTAATATTCAATATTTGATAGCGAATGCGATCGAATACGGTTATTCGTAATTATAATCTTAATTGAAACGGATTAAAATGCAGGGCCTTAAAAATTGGTGAATGTTGTATAAATAGATGATAATGACAGAGCATACAAGCCGCCGAATCTCTTGCCTCCTACTAAATATGCTACTGTGGGTCAACTGTATTGCGATTGTGATTGCAGCAATCACGTCAATTCATGAAAACTAGAATTTTGATGGGACTTTTGCATCAGTGTAACAATACATCCCTTCGGGTATTGAAGTGTAATGCAAAAGATCAGGGGTTATCAGCGGGCAACTAAAAATAATTCACATTTCAAGCTGATCGCATTTTTGATATATTTGCTATTCAATATTATGTATTCCAAACTTTCGTCAACATTTTTATTTTTATTTTAATACTACATAGTTTTTTAAAAGCTCATAGTTAGAAAATTTATCATTTTCGCTCAAAATTCCCAACTAAGGCATATGATTTGGTGCATCATGTATTCCTCCATATGCTGCTCACCCCCCCAATTTCCTCTAATTCTAAACGTCATCCATCATAATTCTCATGCACGACATTAAGACTCGTCGTGAACGGAGAGACAAGCCCTTTCATATCCATCTACCGAGAAATTCATTACGCTCTAAAAGTCTAGACGTTTGCTGAACCTCCTACAGGGTGGTGTCCACGGCCTCATTTTCATATTAGTTTTTTGGCTGCTCATTTTTGCTCTTTTCACAAGATTTTATTGAACTTGTAAGTACTTGTGGGATAAATCTTGAAACTGATCTTCATGAGAGAAACACAATAGTGCCAGTAGGCGTGGGAAGTAAAATACCCAAAAATCAATTAATAAATGTCGCTTTATAATAGCTTCGCCATATATTTCATCCACTACCCATCCAACAGCGTGGCGTACTCGAAACTTCGAATCTACGCGTAACCGAGACCGGCGACGGCAGCGATGTAAAAAGATAAAATTCGGTTAAAGTGCGGTGGCCACTTGATGGTAAAAAGTCAGCTAAAACCTCTCGCGTATACCACTACGCTTCCGCACAGGAGCAGAGGCTGTGGTATAGAAGGGCCCTAAAGAGTATATCGTCGGATAAATTCAAATTATGTTAGTGGCAGTTTATTACAGCTGGATATGGCACATTGGTGTAACGGAGGTGGCTTTTATAGGTGAAACATTTTGATTATCATGTAAGCTCTTTTGTTCTTCGTATAGTTTTAAGGGACCCACCGAAGCTTCGACATCGCTTTGGGATTCGGCCAAAAAGTACACATTCGGTCTTGGACCAGAATTGACCAAAAGCCGAAGGTTTCGAAAAACCTCTAATATTGAGGCCTTTTTCGAAGATTTGGCCTACAAAAGAAATAAAAATGCATACAATCTTGGTCAGCCAATTTAGACACGATTGAAACTTAAAATGTGCTAAGGAATCCCGGCTTGCCTACTAATATCATAAATGAGAAACTGTGGATGTTTGTTACTCAATTACGCAAAATCGCTGAACGGATCTGGCTGAGAGCTATATGAGACTTTCTTGGCTTGTGATGTATTGATAAAGTTGAATGTTCTTCAGAGAGTGCTTTTTGGGCTATTTTTCAAAAAAAAAGTCAGAGACAGAAAGTTGTTCATTTTTTGGTCGAAGCTTAGACATATTCTTAATCGTCACTCACAAGTACACTTGAGGCCAATGAAGTGATCCTCAAGTGTATCCTAATGTTTTTTTTTTTTATTCTCCAACTACCACGAAGGCCTAAGGCCTAAGCACCCATTGGGTACCGTGGGGCTAGGGGAAAAGTAGGTAATATGCCCCAGTTGACAAAATGCCCCACTAGCGTTTCACTGAAACAAGCACACTTTTTCGGCACAATGCGGCATCCGCGCATCGAAGAAAGTCTGCCGGCAACATGGTTTATGTTCCTACACGCGTGCTGTAGCTTGTTAAAAAAATATTGCAAAGGATAGTTTTTTCAGTGGTCGGACAATTTGTGGTAAGTTCCAAACAAATTTATATATCGTTAATACTATTTGTTTTATTCCAAACTTATATGCACCATGTTAAAACATATAAAATTGGCTTCATGCTCTGTGTGTGTCAAACAACATAACCTAAAATTCCTTTCTTGCATCAGAGTGGGGCGTTTTAGACACCATATTTTACAATATGCCCCATTGTATGGTTTATAATTCGCCCCACCATTAAAACCGCAAATATTATTCATGGTTCTTATGTTTTCCAGAATATGTCACGAAAATATGAACGGAAGTCACTACGAGCGTCATGGGCAGCTGAAGATTTGGAAGAGGCGATGCAGCAAGTCCGGGGAAAATTATGGGCATTAATGAGGCTTCCAGACGTTTTGGAATACCATCCAGAACATTGAGAAGACACCTTATAACGGGAAAATCAAAGGTCCCCCTTGACCGCAACCCTGTATTTTCAGTTGAATATGAAAGAAAACTTGTAGCACATATACAAAAATTGGAAAAAGTTGGTTTTGCATCAGACAGAAATGATGTCAGGGAAATGGCTTTCCAGTTAGCAAAAAAACTTGACATCAAACATACATTTTCTGAAAGGTCGGGATCAGCTGGTAGGGTGTGGTTTACTGGATTTATGAAAAGAAATCCAGAACTAACTCAAAGAAAATCAGAAGGCTTATCACTTGCACGAGCATATGGAGTAAACAGAAAAGACATTCAATATTTTTATGACCTTTTGGCCAAAATTTACGAAGAAAATGACTTTGCATCTCATCCTGAAGATATACGAGTATATAACATGGATGAGACAGGGATTCAGGTTAATAACAAGCCAGGAAAAGTAGTGGCAACAAAAGGGGTCAAAGATGTATATACTCTCACAAGTTGTGAAAAAGGTGAAAATATGACAGTTATAGCATGTTGCAATGCTGGAGGTAATTTCATGCCTCCTACATTAATATATAAGGGAACTTACACTAAGCCCCAGTTTTCTGAAGGGCTTCCAACAGGATCACGGGTCCTTATGAATAAAAAATCATCCTATATTAACTCGGACTTGTTCATGCAGCGGTTTGAAGAAGTATTTTTACGACACAAAGGTCCTCGAACGACTTTATTAATATTAGATGGTCACAGTTCGCATAGTAACAATATTCGGGTACTAGAAGTAGCCAAAGAAAATAATGTGATACTGTTATGCCTACCAAGCCACACAACGCATGTACTTCAGCCTCTTGACAAGGCCTTTTTTAGGCCACTCAAAATGTTTTTTGCACAAGAAGCTAAATCTTGGATGGTACAAAATAGAGAAAAGAAGTTGACGCGCTATGATGTCTCAAAACTGATTGGCAAGGCTTGGGGTAAGGCCGCCACTGTATCCAATGGTGTTTCAGCGTTGAAGTGCTGCGGTATCTATCCATTTGATCCCCATGCTGTTGCAGACTATCATTTCTCATTATCAGATTCGCTACAAGAGCAAAATTTAGTTGACATTGACGAAGTCAACAATCAAAGTACAAGAAGTACTGATGAGAGTCTTACAGGAAATACTGCACCAGCAACTGAGATTCTGTCACAGCCAGGAACGTCAGGTCTCCACAGCACTCCAGTCTCCCTACATGATGACGAATCTGTGAATACGCCGCAAAAGCACCCACAAAATGATGCATCCCAACAAGTAGGCATTTGTGATAAAACGCCTGAAGAAGCCATTCCATCTTCTGATGTAAAAGACAAAGAAACGCCTTCCAAAGTTCTAAGTGAAATACATCCAGTGCCCAAACTACCAAAAAATCTGTCCAAAAGGAAACAAACAGCAATCATTCTCACTTCGCCGGAAAATATTGAGAAAAGAACATTACTGGCAAATAAAAGAAAGATTAAAGCTGAAGCTGAGAGTAATAAACTCAAGAAGGCTAAAACAAAAGTGACTAATACGAAGAAAAGGGATGACCTTAGTAGAGTAAAAGGTAAAAAGGTGTTAAAGAAGAAGCCAAAGAAGAATGCGTGGGATTCATCGTCTTCAGATAGCAATGATGAAAATATGGAGACGTTTGAGGAGTCGGAAGAAGAGCTATCTCATGAGGATCCAAACAGATGTGCCGAATGTACTGAAAACTATTACCAAACACAATCTACAGAGGATTGGATCCAATGTCCCACTTGTTCAGCATGGCTGCATGAATTTTGTACAATGTATGCTCCTATGTGTAATCGTTGTGGACGAAAAGCTAAAAGGGCATCTATCCAGAAATGAGTTCCATTCATGCGTATAAACATTATATACCTATGTATTATATTTCAAAGATTCATTTTATCACTTCATCAAACACTAATAGTGTCGAATTATCATTTCATTTTTGTTTGTACAAAAGTAATATTCTAGTTTTATTTCATCAGAAGTGATGTATCTTACTCTGATATTCATTAAAGTTATTTGAATGTTCATTTTTTCAATTATTGCTTATATCTTCAAATTAATATAATATTGAAGGTAGTGGGGCATTTTGCAACTCGTGCGAGGCGTATTACCTGAGGGTCAGTTGACAAAACGCCCCACTCAAGGTTCTGGAAAATATGCAATCAATATCTGTCTAAACGATTTAGATCAATGTAACATCTGTCTTTACGTTGTAAAAGAGCCAAGCTATGCCCCTGATTAAGATCTTGCCGATATCTTCAAATGTTTTCTTTCAATAGGCACTTGAAAAAAAGTGGGGCGTATTACCTACTCTTCCCCTATAGGGGGATACATGGGACAGGGGGAACGCCACACGGACTCTGGCGAGGGAACACATGTACATGCAACATGCACACATTCTGGCTCCGCCTACGAGATCCGCCGGGTGGTACCTCCGCGTTCGACAGTCGGAGACCATCTACCACCTACGGACAATCACAACATCCATAGCCAAGAGAAAAATTTCTCCTGGGACGGGACTCGAACTCGCACAGCGCACGGCGACTGATCAGAAGACCGAAGAGTCTACTACTGCGGCCACCGCTGCTGCCTAATGTACTCGAAACTGGCATTGTCATGATTTGACAAATTTAAATCAAATTTGTATTAAACTATTTGATAGTTATGGTTTTGGCATTTGTGATTGACGATACAGTGAACAAAATGACTGAAGAACGAAAATACCATTCAGAGGCTGAAACATTCCTATTATGCAGTCCAACTGGAGAATACAAAAAAAATTTAGCGAATCATAAAAACCGATGATGTATCCATAAGAAAGAAACAACAAGCCCATGAAAAAATAAGCAATTTGTACAACTCGCAAGGATTGATCCGAAGGAATTCCAAGCAACCTCAGGACAAGGAAAGGATGTACGTATGCTGCAAATTCCAAAGTTTACTTATTTTATCTGTTCTAATGTTAATCTTTTGTCTACTGCTAAAAAATGGTTTAGGAGTGTTTATTTTTGTTTTATTTGTTTATTTTGAGTGCCTTCATTGCAAGATATGTATTAACATAAATATTTTTATATGGAGTATTGAAGCTATAGTAACTTCTTGTTAAATATATTTTACATGCATAGATCACTATATTTCAAGTTATAGTAGGTTGAATATGTTATGAGATATCCTTACTGTACTGAATTTTCATGCTCCTTCTTTATTTATATGCAAGTATGCGAAATAAGGAATACAGTTTTAAACTTCATAGGTGTAATCAAAACATTTATTATATATAAAGTAGGTATAACTCAGTATCACCAAAATTTGTAGTTATGAACACACGGCAAACATATAGGCCTAAAAAGGAACCTATTATTTCATACATTGCTACTGATCAATTTCAAGTTTCTTTTTATGAAAATCTCTCCTACTTTTCCTCCAGAATTTTTTATTGCTATATGTACTCCATCATTGCATATGAGACTGATGGAAAATTACTCATGTCAAAGAACTTTCTAATCATTATTATTTGATGGACATTTGGCGAAAACTTAACGAGATTGAGTAGGTGCCGAGCAATCGCTTTGGAAACCCGCTTCATAATTTTGCAGACAGCTAGTTGTGATATCCTCTGTAAATCGCCATCGACATTCTACAAACAAACGAAGCATTTGTATAGGGAAATATACACAAATACTTTCTCAGAAGTTCAAACCTTCAAATGTTCAGTTGCATAAAAACGGATTGCAGCAAATAACTGTTGTATTAGTAGAATTGATAATCCTCTTCGGTTTATTTAGGTCGTCATGAATTAATGAGGCTATGTTGTCTCTTGCCTGTGCCTTTTGAGAATGTAAATCGTGCCTTTAAATTGTTGTTCATCATAAAAACTGAACGGATTTATAGCAACCCTCAAATATCTCCTTATCACCCTTTCAATTGCAGGTGATTTCTTGTTGTTTTCAATAAATCCCAGAAACCGTTCATAACCCATTTTGCTCACAACCTGAAAAATTTCCGAGAGTAAGCCACTATGAAACAGGAACTAACCATTGAGGGTATCAACACCCTGAAGTGATGTTCTCTTAACCTTTTATGCTTGACGGTACAGTAGCGATGCGTATTTTATAATTTCTTGTGACGGATTCTACGTAAGAACAGAATTTTGTATTAAATTTTACATTGCAGCGCCTGTATAGAAAAACGCAGGGTTAGTACGTAAATAAGCCTATATAATGTAAAAAACCAACAAAATGTCAACTTGCTGACTAGATAGCTGCTAGTGTTCATTACGCTTTTGCTCGCTGTGAGCACTGTAAGTCAGTTTGCCAGTATGCTTTGTTGCTTACAGAATGCCGAGATAGTGAGAAGATGTGACATAATGAAAATTGGTTGAGTAGTAGAGTAGTAACATCACATCTGGATGATTGTGTCTATTAGTCTGAATGTGTATAGACTATATTATTTATTTGCTATCTGAGAAAATTATTTCTGATTATGCTGCCCATGAAGCACCTATATCTATTAGCTGTGTCATGTTCAAAGTTATATATATATATAAGGCTTTATTTTAAAAAAAAAATAACACAATAGGAATGACACATCACACACAAAATATTTTTGCAGTGTCTCACATCTAGGCGCTGATTTGTATTTGTATTTTCTACAAAATTTATTTCTATAAAATATAAATGACTGGAGATACAAAATAATGCAAAATGTAATAACCACTTATGATTCATAAATATTCCGGTAGCCTATTTTCTCAGCTGTTAGTTGTAGTATACTTCACCAACCAGGGATTTTCTATTTTTATCTCTCTCATCTTTGAAATTCAGCAACTTTGCATATGTAAGTTCCAGGACGAATAAGAAAAAGGGGAATGCGCAACTAATTTCTAGCTTTGCAAGAAAATGTATTTGAGAGAAGGAAACAAGGACATTATAATCAACACATAAGAGCCAAACCATGTTATCTCTAGCGTCATGACGTCTAGGCAACACGTACAGCTACACAACGAGTGCACATCAAGTGAACAACTTCTAGTTCCAAGTTGACATATTATAGGAGAACCTACATGATGTCACCAAAAACCTATATAAAGTTTAAAAAAAACCAACAATGTCACTTTTCAACATACGTAATACCCTTGCTGGAGAGGCGTCAATGACAGACTGCTGCAAATAGGTAAATCTGGTTTTTTGTGGTATACTATACATACGGATCGTATAACATTTAAAAAATACAAGATCTCTATTTTTAAATTTTTGTTGATTACAATACTTCTAATATTTTTCGATACCTGGACGGGCAAATAAGGGATAATACTTGAAAATGCCTGAAAATTAGGAAATCTTAAAACTAAATCTAGTAGTGATGCTGCCTTCGCCTATGACGTGAGAAGTAGACGAAAGAATCCATATTGAGTAGTAATGTATGTCCTATCAAAAACCATCGATTATCGCATCATCCACGAAAATCCGTTTAATTTTGCGCAAATTAATGGAAAACCGTACAAATTGGACGGTGTAGTATTAATCCTCAGAATTGAAGAGTATCTCCCACATCTCCAATTATTCACTTCATTTGAATAGTCCGCCGCCCAAGCGCCGACGCCGAGCTGTTAGCGTTAATAAAATATGCGGTGGTTATTTAAATTGAAGTTAGTGGGGAGGAGGTCGGAAACGGATAATTAAAACATTTAGCCTCGACTATATTTTTGTTATTCTTCGGGTACCCGATGCTTGGCTGCGACAAAACCTACAGCAGCCTGAATTTTGGAGTAGTCTCTCTGGAGTTGAGTGTTTACTGGTGCAGTGGCGTAGTTTTTTGGAATTTATAACCTATACTACGAATTTACGACTATAAAAGTCTCCTGATTCACCATCAGTGTGCCGCTGGTATCCCATAAAGACCTGTATAAAACTGTATAAATATACAGGGCTTTCCATTTGATTTTTTTGAGCAAAAAGTATATCTTGCGTTTATATACCATTTTGATGAAAATTTGATAATCTATCTGCAAAAACTGTTTAGTTTTTTGGACAAAATATTACGTAGCGCTAAAAGTAGTCAAACAGGTCCATACAATTAGTCCATAGAATTTTTTTTCAGCCCAACCGGTAAACCATTTGTCCCAGAGGATAGGACACACTATGCTATGACAGTAATACTTACCAGGACCGGCCCGCTGCCAGGAACAGATGCAGACGCGGCAGAGTGGACGCGATCCGCTTGCTCAGAATATTTATAAGTGTTAAAGTACGGGGATATCTATGATCTATGTGATATCTCTAATAGGTTGCATAGAATTACCAAGGTTGGGAGCCTATAAACATACTAACATCAAAAATTTGAGATATACCACTCTCGACATCCCTCTACAACTCCCACCGCCTATTTTTTTTCTTCAAAATTTTTTTCCTAAATCCTCTAAAAACGTCAAAAAACGGAGTTGCCTTTTTCTCCACCGCCACTGGACCGACTTTCAAAAACTAAAAAGTCTGTTCTCTACTAAAGTGATTCAATCCTCGTTCGCATGAGAGAGAGAACCCTTTAAATATTTAGCTACCTTGAAACGTCGCGTCGTTCGTATAGATAATATTAAATTGGAATTATAAGCACAACACCACGATTGCAAAATAGTCTTTTTGCTAAATGTTGGATATAAACACTTTATTGTCTGGCAGTCTCGATTCTTCAAAACTGATTATATATATATATATATATATATACAGGGTGACTTCGAAGTTGAGCCATTTATTTTAACAGTGAGTAGATCTGATCAAAAGAAATGTTTTTTTCCTTTACCATTTTTCTGGTAAAATTAAAGTAACAAAGTTATAGCCCTTTGGAAGTTTGAGTACCGCCCTGTCTCAATAATAATATCATGTACTCGTGTTTGGCAACAACGGATATAATCCGCCTTACCGGTTCATCGCATCGGAAACAAAAAAGCGAAAGAATTTGGAACGACGTTTTTGCAATTAAGTATTTTATTCAGTTCAGTTATACATACAGTCGGTTAGCGTGTGAATAGTGTCTGTTGCGTGGCTCAAACGAAATAAAAATGGCACATGTTTATGCGGATCGGTTTCCCAATCGAGTGCAACCAACCCCTCGTGCCTTTGTTAATGTAGTACAACGGGCTCGTGAATCAGGTGACTCACAGGGGACCTCACGATCAAATACAGGTCCGCACTGAAATACTTGTCGGGAGGATACTTTATAAAACAAGGTAAAAATTTTTTTTAATTTTTTTTATTTTTACACACATATTCTGGTTTATCTTCCTTCTACAATCATTATCTGAAAATTAATGACTCAACTTCAAAGTCACCCTGTATATATATATATATATATATATATATATATATAAACAAAGTTACATGGATAAGTTTATGTATTTTTTGTGATGACTGCTTCTGGGGTGTTCGCTTTGTCCCTATGTTCAGATCAAGCTTTAATAACACTCGCATATAGAGTCACGAACTTCATACGTTTATACATATAGCCATTTTGTTTCATTCTTTAATAATCCGTTCAGTGCGATGGACAAACCGATTATAATTATTGAAGGACAATCAAGACAATGAAGCTAAACTACATTTAATGAGAGAAAGATATTGGTATGTCTGCCGAAGTACTTAAATTCCATGTTTGTGAAATCGCCTCAGTAGACAATAATAGACTCGTAATGGTCTTCTTGTAAATTAGTACTTACTATGTACTTATTTATTTATTGCACTTAGCAACTCTCTCCATTTTGTCTCCATATTTAAATACTAATTATTCAGTGGGAATTAATGTAATTAGATCATCCTGCCTGATCTCTGTCATTCGTTTTTCAGTGAAAGGAAATCTATTTATACATGATAATATACGAGGGCGTTTCAATAGTTGTTGTTAATGCGAGGAAATCTTGGAAAGTAAACGGTTTCCCAACGTTGAAATGGAATTAAACAAGCTGTCTGTGTAGGATCCTTGAATGTTGAATGTGTCATTTTTTCCAACCCTAACCTGGGGAATCACCATTATATACCTTATTCCTATGATATTATTTCCTCTTATTAGTGTTTCTCCTGATCCTATCAACTTGAAAAATATTTCAAAATAATAGTGGATAGTAGCCTATTGAAGGACCTTTGCGCGACTAAAAGAAAAAAGTATCTATTAAAATTTCAATGGAACCTCCAAATCACCAATATAAAGTCTTGCTTATAAATATTGAGGAATAATAATGAAAATGCAACACTACGCAAAAACTTCTATTATCAAAACATATAATGTTGGACGAACAAGCTATGTGACGCATGTTGCGCTTGCTTCCTGACTGTGGCTACTATTTACACTTGTCAATAATGGAATAACAGAAAATGTAGAACCAGCAGGATATTCTGCGTAAACCCATTCAATGTAGGGATACCTCTCGACATACATAAATTGTCCATCATGATTTTTTCTCTTGAAGGAATTTCTGGAGCTGTAGTCCACCGAATGCCTTTAACATCCATGTCACTGCGCAACCGCGGTGGATACTTGACCGATATCATATTTCAAATAACATGGGCCTGTCAAAATGAAAAGAATTTTTTTAATACTGGTTGTTTTATTACAGTCCCATATTGTCCTGTCTTTATTGGAAAACAGATAATCTGAAACTGTATCCAAATTATACGCCACCTAGCCCACGAAAATGAAAACCACCATGATGTTCACAGTTAGTTGAATCTGTTTTTAGCTACTAATTAAGAGTAGAACACTGTATTTGAATAGCATAGTGAACAATTTATGGATGACAATTTGAATGTAATCAAAACCATTTTCGAGGGAGCGGTGACCCAAATGTTAGTACGGAACAGGAATGGTAACCAGCTGGTGCTCATGAAATATCTGCGTTCCACAGTTGGTCGTACAAACTAGAAATACCTCTGTGGGAAAATTACAACAAATTAGAGTAGTATAGTTCGGTTACATTAGATTTCAATTGTGTTTCACGATTCTTAATTATGTCGAAAGACCAATGCCCATTTTAGTGTCATCATGTGCGTCACCAGTCTTTTCCGGGTACTTCAAGAATAAATAAAATAATATATTTGTAATAACAAGCTCTTATTTACCGGTTCATAAAAATTTGTTTCCGATCGGAAATATTCAAACGATAAGGAAGCTCTTTCATCTGAAGTTTTCAAATAGAAGCGTCTTACACCGTTTTCGATTCTGCTGTCAAAACGGTTACGAAAATTTGTAATCGGAATATTATAATTGGGGAACTACTTCAGTGGATTTTATTCTGAACTTGGATAATATTGATATGGGTGATTAAAAAAGAATGAGAACGGTCGAACTACTGACGATAACGCGTTGTCTCTGCGTCATGACCAAATGAGATTACCTTATGGTAAAAGCCGTATGAAGCATTCCAGCAAGAGAAAAATCAATATTTCTATGTATCTTGGAAACTAATAACTTGCGAGACTTATACAAAATTGTATTTACTTTCCCTGCTCAAAACGATGAATTTATAAAAAAGGTGAATCATATGAAAAAGCTGACTTAGATTTTTCGGAATCCAACCTTTATTCTCTTTTTTGACCATCGTGTTCTATTTGTTTTCCAAATCAGGAACAAAACTTGCTAAAGCAGGTCCCCTACCATAAGAAACCAGCTACAAATTGTATTCCAAAGACAAGAACAGGAGAAAAAATATACTTGATTGACCTGCTTTTGTCATTTTTTACGCAAAATTTGAGACATTTCAAAAATGGTCAGACGTTTATGAAATATTCAGAATCTCGCATTCTTCAAATAAAATTCTGGTGAAAACACATTACTCTCTTAAATTTTTAATGCAATTTCGGTAACTTCAGCTAATTTTC